TTTCTTCCAGGGTAGAATTTCAGGGATTATTATTTTCTTTAGATGACAGGGTGTTTCCCTTGATAAACCTAAACTGGGACTAAGAAATAAACTATTGGGATTAAAGAAATGAAGATATTTTTAAGACAGCACCTACAAAACTACCATGTTTTGTGTTTTTTTTTAAATTTTACTAATGAAATTGTTGTTATTACAGATGTTTCTCCTTCTTCCTCCCCAGGCACCCTCCTCCCGATCCCGTCACCAACAGGATTGTTGTCTATGTCTATTGGTTATGCATATATGCATATAAGTTCTTTGGTTTATCTCATCCCCAAACTCCCATGTTGGAATAAAAAGAGATGAACACAGAGGGCCGTACAGTGAATGGTATTGCTGGGAGCCACTGCCCCAAACACACAAACCCTTGAGGAGCAGGTTAGCACTGCGTTACAGATGTCACGGTGCTTTCCTTGTGAATGCACGCTGGGTCGCAGTAGATGAGAACTGTTCCCTGAGTGAGGTATGCAACTATTTTCTTTCCTGCAGGGTGTTAGCATCTACGTAACCAAGTTTTTCTACAACTGTCAGCAGGAACGACTGCATTATGAAGACTGAAGCACAACAGTCCCTTAATAAATGCTTATACAATGATTGAAGACATTTTAGAACATAGTGTCTAGTCTAGCTACTCAACTTGACCAAGGTCATACTTGGAAGAATTAAGAATCAAGGTCCTCAATCTCAGTTTAATGATATTTTCACTATTCTGGGCCAATAGAAGAGATGAAATGTTCTCCTCTGCCCTTTGTTCTCATTCCTAAGTACCACTACTCTGCACCTTACCTAAGTTGATTTGGTCTTTTAGCTTGGAGATTTTTTCAAGATTATCTCAATCAAATACGTAGCAAACACTTTGCTATCCATCCCTCCTTTGTAGAGGCTTTCTTGAATTTGACGTTCATGGTATAAACCGTTAGTTATTTCCACTTCCTCTCGCTGTCTTTCACACCCCCCCAGTGCCCCGCTACTCAAGACTCTGTCTTCCCCTCTGCTCTTCAGTCTCTCTGTATCATCCCCATAACTTTAGACCTGACCTCTCTGAGCTCCAGATTCACATCTCCAGGTGCTTCCCGAGTATTTTTATGTTCCTATCTCCTCTAATTCAGTATGTCCAAAAATATATCATCTCTCCTTCCACATATTTTACTCAACTTCCTAACAGTATCATCACTTTTTTATTCATGCAAACTCATAACTTTAGTCATCTGACTTCCTCTGCCTTTAAGACCAGTCCTATTGATTTTTTAAAAAATGTTTGCGTTACTTTTTGAATTGTTTTGTTTTGGTTCCCACAAAAACCACCATGGTTTTCATCAGCCTCTCAGCCAGATTCCTCACTTCCAGCTCATCATCTTTCTTAAACATCTACTTCATCACTTTTCTCAACTAGGACTTTCTCTAATCAGGTGGGTTTACTCACTAGATTTTAATTCTTTCTCATTCCTCTGTCTGCATGCAATAAATCCCATGGCTAGAATACACATCCTCCTAATCACTGCCTGTTCAAATCCTGCCTTTAATAGTAATTCAAGTCCAGTCCCTTCAATGAAGCTTTCTGTTACTGTTCTTGAATTTACTACCTACACACCACAATTTTTGGTGTCCAACTGCCAATCACTCTATATGTTAACTTTTAAAATCTACTTGTCTTCCCGGTAAGGCTGTAGGAACCACAGCTTACAGGTCTTTGGTGCTTCTGAAAATATCCCTAAAACTGCATTACATTATAAAAAATGAACCATAGTAGTTTACTCTATTTATTTACTTTTTTTTTTGTGGTACATTCCCCTAGCAGGAACCGAACTCGGGACTTTCTGGTCCGCAGGCCGCTGCTCAACCACTGAGCCAAACTAGTAGTTAAGAGAAGATGATTAGGAAGTAGAAAATTCTACGTTTAGATCCTAGCTTTGTTCTGTTCTAGATGGGTGACCTGGGGCAAATTACTTAACCTCCACAAGCTTTCATATCTATAAAACAGAGATAATCCCACCTATTTCATAGGGCTGTTGTAAGTTTAACAGAATGTGTATTACACATATACAATGTTGAACACAGTACCTGGTCCATGGTGAGTGCCTTTTTAAGGATTTTACACACACTAGGCACTCTTCTTTGGTCCATATTTTAAAATTTATGATCTACAGATTCAATGCAATCCCTATCAAAATTCCAATGGCAATTTTCACATACATAGAACAAAAAAAATACTAAAATCTGTATGGAATCACAAAAGACTCCACATAGCCAAAGAAATATTGAGAAAGAAGAACAAAGCTGGAGGCATCATATTCTGTTTCAAACTATAATACAAAGCTATTGTAATAAAAACAGTATGGCATTAGCATAAAAACAGACACATACATCAATGGAACAGAATAGAGAGCCCAAAAATAAACCCACACTTATATGATCAATTCATGTATGACAATGAATATTTAAGAATATACAATGGGGAAAAGACAGCCTCTTCAACAAATGGTGTTGGGAAAACTGGACAGACACATGTAAAAGAATGAAACTGGATCACTATCTTAAACTATATTAAAAAATTAACTCAAAATGGATTAAATACTTGAATGTAAGACCTGAAGCCATAAAAATCCTAGAAGAAACCATAAGAAATAACCTCACTGACATCAGTCTTGATGATGACTTTTTTGGTTCTAAAACCAAAGCAAAGTCAACCACAGCAAAAAATCAGTAAGTGGAATGACATCAAACTAAAAAGCTTCTACACATCAAGGAAAACCATCAACAAAGTGAAAAGGCAATCTACTAATGGAAAAAAATATTTGCAAATCATATATCTAAGAGCTTAATATCCAAAAAAAATTTTATATATATATATATATATATATATACACACACACACACACACACACACACACACACACACTCATACAACTCAATAGCAAAAAAAACAAAAATACAAACAACAACAAAACAACAGTCCAATTTAAAAATGGACAGGAGATTTAAATATACATGTCTCCAAAGATGACATACAGATGGCCAACAGGTATGTAAAAAGATGCTCAACATCATTCATCATCAGTAAAATGCAAATAAAAAGCTCAATGAAATATCATTGCACATCTTGTTAGAATGGCTATTGTCAAAAAGACAAGAAATAACACGTGTTGGCAAGGATGTGGAGAAAAGGGAACCCTTGTACACTGTTGGTGGGAATGTAAATTGGGGCAAACACTACGGAAAACAGTATGGAGGGTCCTAAAAAAATTAAAAATAGAACTACTGAATGATCCAGTAATTCCATACTTGGGTAATTTATTGAAAGAAAAGGAAAATACTAACTAGGAAAAATATCTGTGCCCCCAACATTATTTACAAGATATGTAAACAACTGGTGTCCATCAACAGATAAATGGATAAAGAAAATGTGTGTGTGTGTGTGTGTATACATACATATATACATATATATGTATGTATGTGTATATATATAATGGAATATTATCCAGAGGCGGGTGAGGGGTGAGCAAAATGGGTAAAGGGAGTCAAAGGTACAAACTTCCAATTATAAAATAAATAAGTCAGGGGAGGTAACGTATAGCATGGTAACTTCAGTTGATAATATTGTATTGTATATTTGAAAGTCTCTAAGAGAGTAAACCTTAAAAATTTACATCACAAGAAAAACAATTCTGTAACTATGTATGATGACAGATGTTAACTAGACTTATTGTAGTGATCATGTCACACTATACAGAAATACTGAATCATTCTATTGAAACTAATATAATTATGTATGTCAATTATATTTCAATAAAAAAAAGATAAAAGTAAGCTGCAGAGGTCATGCTAACTAGTTCTTCTTACCATGCTGTCAAGATCCCATTTCACATGAAGTTTTACATTAGCGATCACTGTATTTAGTAAAAAAAAATTACTTTTCTAAGCTATGTTTAAGAAGAGTAGGAAAGACAACTTTTAACTCGCAAGCTGTGCCCAGATGCCAACCTGGTGTATAAAAATGTATGCATAAGATCAGTTTCACCCATACATATAACTCAATCCAGTATGATTTTCAGCAATTGCCATTCTAATAATACAGTTAAAGCAAAATGAAAGAATTGTTGGTAAAGCTGGAAAAGTTTCCAGGAAGTCAAGCCACTGGATAAAGATTTTGTGTGAAGGGCCCTGGCCGGTTTGGCTCAGCGGTTAGAGCGTCGGCCTGCGGTCCGGAGAGACCCGGGTTCGGTTCCCGCTAAGGGCATGTACCTCGGTTGCAGTTTGTCCCCGGCCCTGGTTGGTCGTGCGGGTGGCAGCCACTCGATGTGTCCCTTTCACGTCGATGTTTCTCTCTCTCTCTCTTCCTCTCTCTCCCTCCCACTCTATCTGTACAAAAAATGGAAAAAAAAAAATGTCCTCAGGTGAGGATAAAAAAAAAGATTTTGTGTGAAGGAATGCTAGAGCCCTTCAAACGGAAGCTCCATGATTAGCAACAAGAGCTGGATTTTTCTATGAAGATGGGCGTTAGCCTTTCTTCAACCAGCAAGGCATTACCAACTCTGATTCGTGGCTTTAAGAAGCACAGTGAAAATGTTGCAATCTAGTACATGAAAAACCAACAACCTGACCTTTTGTTGGCTGTGGTAATTCATTTTTTGTTTTTCCTAATGAAAAAAATCTTCTTTTTTTGTGCAGCAGGTAACAACTTTCCCTAGTTTAAGCCATACTGTATTTAAAAAGTCAGATATTGTGCCTCCACTAAGGTTGCAGGAATTTTCCACCAGGAATATCTATGATCTTGCAGGAACGGCTGCATCAAGTATAGAAAGTCCATGCCATTGTCTTCTTCTGCCTTGCATGGTGCCTCTCATAATGATGAGCAGCCACAGGGCAAGTGTCTCTACATCACTGCCCAAATGCCTCCCTTCGAAAATCCTAGATTCATTGCTTCTGCACCCCTGGGAAGGGAATTACATGCATGGCCTTACCGCAGACGTTAGACGAGCAAGAATTTCATCACTGCTTTCTTCTGAGTCTTCAATTTTCTGATGAGACCTTTAAAAAACAAAGAACTAATTACCCTTCAGCTTTGGGTGGCCAAATTTATCTACCAAGTTATGGGGAGTACATGGCATTCCCCACTGTTTAACACATTATTGTTTAATTATTACTGTTTAATACATTAGTCAAAGTACCCAAGCAATGAACGTGGTATCAGTCAGGCCAAGGGAACACTGCTCTGTGGCAGCCCCACTGTTCCTCCAAAAGCAATTAGCAAAAACTTCTTTACAAAACACCAACCAAATCCTGAAGATGGAGTTGTTCTCCACACGACTCCACAGAATGACCCCGGCACCCTAGGCTTACAGATATGGGCAGGAATCACAAGTGGGTGTGCATATGTGCTGGCTATGTTCTAAAATCCCCTCATGTTAAATGACATCCAGATTTTGAAAATATGAATCATGAATTTTCCACTACATCTGAGTTTCAACCAAAACAGATGTATCACAAAATGGTCTGTTATAGACCCGATACTACGATAGGATTGATGTGGAAACAGCAGAAGCAGCCCTTTGTTCTTTCTTAAGAGACACAGACCAGCTGAGAAACCAAACACACAAAATGTAGACGTTAAATAACTCACGAGACGTATAACATATTATACAGTATAAGATCAGTTTGTTTAGGAAAATCACCTTTCTAATGTAATGCATGAAGAAAATTTCACTGCACAAATGGGTGTACTAAACGTATACAATTTTCTACTTTTTAAAACAAATCTTATAGAACTGCATTCTTTTTTTTTTTTCTGGTTTGGTGCAAGAAAAAAAAATTAACTAATGCCAGTGGAATATATCAAACTGTCTCCCAGATGTATTTCCACAAGAATCCCTTCCTACCGCTCGGTGGAGCTGGAAGGGCTGCTGGGCTGGAGATGTCCTGCAGGGCAGCGTGCTCAGCAGGCAGCCCAGGGACTGATTTCAATCTCCCAATTGCAGTGGGCAGCTGCAGTGCCAGCTTGCTGGGGCAGGAGGGCGTCTCCGGCCACAGGGGAGCTAAAAAGAAGCTCCTTGAGAAAAGTAAAGCTAGCCCTGGCCGGTTTGGCTCAGCAGTTAGAGCATTGGCCCGAGGACTAGAGAGACCTGGGTTTGGTTCCAGCTAAGGGCACGTATCTCGGTTGCAGTTTGTCCCCGGCCCTGGTTGGGTCGTGTGGGTGGCAACCAGTCGATGTGTCTCTCTTGCATTGATGTTTCTCTCTCTCTTCCTCCCTCGCTCCCTCCCGCTCTGTCTGAAGATGAATGCAAAAATGTCCTTGGGTGAGGATTTAAAAAATAAATAAATAAAGCTAGTCAGATCAGTTCAGACATTGGCTTCCTGTTCTGTACATGTTATTAAACCGTTTTATAGAAAGAAAGGAAAAAAAAAAAAGCCATGCCCTTTCAATCAGAGCAGTGAGTTACTAACTACTCCCTTTACAAGACCTGCATGATACAGGTAAGAAACAGTGCGGATGTTGTCAAATAACTTAATTACTTGTGCAGCAAAGTGTTTGGAACATTAGCTAATGACCTGCCCAATAAAAACAGTAGGAACTGAGCATTATAATTTACCATATTCCCTAAAAAGCAAGTTACGTTGATAATGAATATACCAAACAATAGGCTTTATTATTAAAATGATCTATTCACAAGGTTCCCCTATACATGAAGTTTTACTAAGGGGAGATCTGTAACCCTGTATAACCTAAGCCGCCAAACCAAATTTAGATAATTAAGCTGAGGGGACTAACAGGCGTGACAGGAAATGAAGTGCCGAAAGCACCCGAGACCCCAGGGCACATGCCAGGGTGCCTACGCTCTGTTTGGTCCGGTCCGGTCTGGTCCGTAGGAGGCGTGGGCTGCTCACGCTGTCACGTCTCTCAGACCCCAGCAGACACCTGAAGGACTAGGTAATCGGACGAGGTATTTTGCACTATCGCAGATTCTGTCACGAATGTCTTTTCAACAAACCGCTGAAAGAAACTCAGAATTCCAAAGGACTGTATCAGGTCAAGAGAGATAATGAAACAGATGGGGTAAGGTAAAACAAGGAAAAGAGTCAATTACAGCCCTGGCAGGTGTGGTTGCATTGGCTGAGTGTTGTCTGGTGCACCAAAAGGTTGCTGGTTCAATTCCCAGTCAGGGCACATGCCCGGGTTATGGGCTTGATCCCTGGTAGGGGGCGTTCAGGAGGCAGCCGATGGATGTTTATCTTTCACACTGATGTTTCTCTTTCTCTCTCTTCCTCTGCCTTCCTCTCTCTCTCTAAAATCAATTAAAAACATGTTTTTTAAAAAAAAATCAATTGCAATACTTGCATGTTTTCCCCATGTATTACCCAAGAGGGCCGTGCTGCTCCGAGAACAGGAGAGGAAGAGAGAAATTCCAAGTGCGGTTACAGAAGGGAAACAGAAACCCTGGCTGGAATTGGCAGGTAATGGCAATGACAAGTTGACATTAAGACAGAAGAGGAGTGACCCCAGGAAGGAAGACCCACCCTTGAGAGTTTGTGCCAACAGGAAGCTCCTGCCCAACAGGCACACCCCTTTAAAAATTCTCTTGGCTGCTTCTCAAGGTCTCTGCTTAGCAACAGCCCCAGCCTGAACCCAAGTCCTAGTGCTGCAGGCAGATGGCTGTGTAAGTTCTAGCGGTCAATATCTAAGGGTGCAGTTGTGAGGACACAGGAGTGGCAGAAGCCTCTGGCCCTCTGCCCTTGACCCTCTCACTGTTAAACTGGACATATCATCATTCTACCCAGTCCCCACTCAACAAACAAACAAACAAACAAAAATCTTGCCCTCCCCATAGTCCTCCCCCACCTTAAATAATGGCAAGTCCATTCTTCCAATTGAAAGTCATCTTTGATTTCCTCCCCTGCCCCCCCAACACACCCGCCCACCCACATTCCACACTGTATCCATCCTGGAATCCTATGGGCTTCAAGGTGTATCTCCTATTTGGCTACTTTTTACCACCTCTACTGCTACCACTGTGGTCCAGCCATAAAATCTCTTACCTGGACCCAGAGTAGACTTATTAATATGTAAGTGAGCTCATGCACCTGCTCTGCTCAGAATCCTCAAATGATTCTTCTTCTGCATAAAGTCAAAGTCAGTGCAGTGGCAGACGAAGCCCTCGGGATCTAGCCTCCTGGTAGTTTTTCATCTCTCCCCCTCTTCTCTCTCCTACAGCCACACTTGCTTTGCTTTCAATGCTTCTGCCCTGAGCCTCTGCACTGGCTGTCCCCCTCTTCTCAGACATCCACAGGACTCCTCTCCTCATACCCCTCCAGTCTGACAACTCTGAAGCCTTCCCTGGCCCATATCCATAGTCCTCATTCCCTACTTTATTTTTTCTCCATAAAGTTATCTACCTTTTTTTTAATCCTCATGGCAGGATATTTTTCCATTTATGCCCAGATAGAGTGGAAGGGAGAGAGAGAAAGAGAGATGTGAGAGAGACACATTGACTGCCTGCCTCCCGCATAACCCTGACCAGGGCTGGGGACCGAACCGCAACTGAGGTACATGCCCTTCAGCAGAATTGAACCCGCGACTCTTTGGTCCAAGGGCCAACACTGTAACCATTGAGCCAAACCAGCCTGGGCAAGTTTTCCACTTTTAACTAATAAATCTGTTTATAAAATTCTGTCCTTCCTACTAGACTGTAGCCTCCATGAGAGTAGAGATTTCTGTCTGTTTTGTTCATTGTTACATCTGCAACACTTAAGAGTACAAACCGGCATAAGAGGCGTTTTATAAATATTTGTTGAATGCAGGGTGGAGCAAAAGTAGCTTTACAGTTGTGGGTACATGAAACAGAGTTCAGTCTTGTATTATTATTCACTGCATTATTTTCCATATGAACAACTGTCAGCCTACTTTTGCCACACCCTTTATATTAACTGAATACATTAAACTTCAAGGAATGCTCAGCTACGAACTAGGATCCCAGGAGTATCACTGCGCAAGATATTAGCTTGTTATCTAATCAAGGCAACTGAAGGTCTCTGCTTACATTCAAGGACGATTATTCCCTCTAGTTATTCCATCATTCTCCTGCTCCCTGAAGCAGGTCTTCCTTTCAGTGATCTTTTTGTCACTAAAATCCAGTAAGAATAATTCTTTTATACCTAATACCAAAGAACCAGTAACTGAAAATATATTAAATAACAGCAACATAATTATCACCCCACCTTTTCATCTTTCCCTAAGAAATAATTACTACAGCCCGGCTGGTGTGGCTCTGTGGATTGAGCATCGTCCCAATGACTGAGAGGTCCCAGTTCACTTCCCAGTCAGGACACGTGCCTGAGTTGTGGCTTGATCTCCAGTAGGGGACATGTAGGAGGCAGCCAATAGATGTTTCTCACATTGATGTTTCTATCTCTCTCTCTCTCTTAAAAAAAAAAAAAAAAAAAAAAATCAGTAAAAACATTTTTAAAAAGAAGAAGAAATAATTAGTACAGACTTAATGACAGTATCTAACCTGGGCAATTGTTTGACAACCATTTACGCAATTCAAAATGCTTAAGGAAAATGAAGTTCCCCACCCAAGAAGGTCTCCCAACACAAACTCTCCCCTCAGTGTGGGTAGTTCCAGCGAAGAGCCTTAGGGGGCAGCACACAGGTGCCATGGTCTGGGCGATGGAACCCATTCTGTACCAGTCAGTCCCAGTACTGTCTCCGGCAACGTGGGTTTAACTGGTTTCCCTGCAGAGGTTCAAAGAAGTCTCTGTGAAAATTCCTTCATGAGAATGAGTATGATGTGTTTGAGATTATTATTCCAATAAGGTTTTTTAAAAATAAAGCTTGCTGTAACTCTTCTGTACAAGAGATAGAACCCACAACCCTTAAACATTTGTGCCTCAAAATCCAAGAAGTGTTATGTGCATCCCAACAACCACAAAATAGACCAATATCTGGAGTCAAGTTGTTCAGGAGACAGAGACTGTGCATAAGCGGCATGTGCTAATGCAGCTGGGGTGTCCTTCATGACCTTCCAGGCCCCTGC